CTACTTCAAGAGCCTTATTTAATTTTAGCTGATTGGGATCTTCTCTAAATAATTTCTCTCGGGCAGACGCAGAGTCAAGACCAAGTACAAAACGATCCGTCAAACACATCTCTAGAGCATGTACCCAAACAAAATGCCGATGCTAGTCCACGAAGACGAGCAGCATACTCCACCATCGACTCGTGAGGGTCCTTTTTAGCCGAATAAAATTTTTGTCTTTCAGCGTATATACACTTTTTGGGTCGAAATGACCGTCAAGCGCAGCAACAATCACCTTGTAATCGGTTGATTCAGGCGTATTTGGATACAATAAATCACGAATAAGACGATATGAGTCTTGTGACATGCCATTCAATAAAATTGGCCGTCTTCTCACTCTTTGAGCATCTGTGATATCGTCGATTCCATTTGCAATAAAGAAGTTGTTTAGTTGTGCTACGTGTACCTCCCACTCATCTGTTTTTCAATCGATAACTGGCACTTTCCCATAGATAGACATTTTAACGCGTGACTTCTACTGTTGGTTAATCGATTATTAACACACAAAATAAACTCATCGCCACTGTAATGTCCTTGCTATTTAAGGAATACGGAAAGGGTTAATACACACCGTACCGTAAACGATCATTTATTCACACCACAGAGTACCTTTAATTCACACAATACAGGGTAGCTGTAGAAACCGTTATTCTTATCTACCGACATAATATGCTACATCACCCTTATCCTATTTAAAAAAACCTGCTGTTTGTTTGGCAGAATGCACTGAAGCTTTTTCGTACTGAAGAGGGTCATAGTGAATCATATTTTGCTGAAAGTGCTTGGTATTTATTATGTAATCAAATCAAATCAAATCAAATCGTTTATTGCTTCTATAATGTACAGTACATTAGCAGTTACAGTGACCATTATAGACCCTGTCGGGCGTTGCAATATACAAGAAATATACAATAAAATAATTGAATGGACTTATAACTATGTAACATCATTATATTATATTTGGCTATTTTGAAAATAAAATTTTATTTAATACTTAGTAATTTACTGGTTAGTAATTAACTATCAAAAAATTCAGTGAGCGTGTAAAAGCATTTGGAAATAAGATAATCATGAAGTTTTTTATTGAATGAACTTAATTTAACAGTGGTAGAGCCACGCGGCAGCTTTTGCTGTCGCACGGATGGGCCGGCTCAAACCGGGGTGGTACCACGACCTCACAAAATACCAGCGTGAAGTAGAGGTTTACCTCTGCCTTTCGCTTGGTGAGTGCAGGTGGCCGGAGGCCCTTTTTACTGGAAATGAGGCATTCCATCTTAGTCCTCACGGGTGACAACGCATCTGCATTTTGATTCGCAAACGAGGATAGGTGTAGATGTCTATGGGCCGCAGCAACCACTTACCATCAGGTGGACTGTGTGCTCGTTTGTCACCCTTATCCTATAAAAAAAAAATTAACTTCAGATTTTACATCTATGGGTAGTTTATTGAATATTTTAATTGCCATGTAATATGGAATACAATTGAGCATTTTGGTTCTAAATGGGGGTAAATATAACCTATGTTTATGCCTAGTATTTACATTGTGTGTTTCTTTTATCTGGGTGAAGAAGTGTTTATTTTTAAATACGAAGTTACTTATATCTTTTATGTAAATAGAAATTAAGGTTAATAATTTAAATTTAATGAAGTAGGGTCGACAGCTATGTCTGTTATCAATTCTGGCAAGTATCCTAACACATTTTTTTTGTAAAATGAACAATTCATCTGCATTAACACTATTACCCCAAAGGATAATGCCATATTTAAGCCATGAAAAGGCATACGCGTAATATGTGGACAGTGCAGTTTCTAAATTTGTGCTATGATTAATTTGATAAAGCGCATATGTAAATTTAGAGAGCTTGCATTTAATTTTTTCAATATGCGACTTCCAGTTTAAATGTGTATCTACATTAAGTCCAAGCAAGTTATACGAGTCTATCTCTTCTATTAGGGTATTTTGTAATTGAAAATTAATTTTTAGGGGTGGTTTATTATATGAACGAAATTGTAAAATTTTTGTCTTTTTAAGGTTTATTTCTAGATTATGGCTATCAAGCCAATGTGTGACATTATGAAGTGTATCATAGATAAGGGTTTCAGAGCTAATGTTGTCGTTACTTTTTATAAGTATTGATAAGTCATCTGCAAATAATACTGGCAGTGTTGATTCACTATACAAACATTTTGGTAGGTCATTTACATAAATAAGAAATAGCACACACATACAGTGGGTCTGTTCCTTGTGCATCATCAGTTCGATAGATGGCTTGCAGTAGTTTATATCAGTGACACGGGTTAAGCTTAATAATAATAATAATGATAAATCTTTATTTCGGATAACAAATGAGATCCATATCAGAGATATTAGAAAAATCACTAAATAATAATAAAAATACAGCTAGGTGAAAAACTAGTGTTGCCCAAAATCGGTCTTGGTCTTGCAGTCTTGATCTTGTTCTTGCATTTTTGCAAGACCAAGACCAAAAACAAGACCGCCTATTTTTAGCAAGACTAATACCATGACTGACCGTGCAGATTTGCGCAAGAACAAGGCTAAACTTGCTAGACTCTTGCATCTTGCAGTTAGGACTGAGTGTCGTTTCAGGGAGTATAGGAGTTCGAGTATACGCTTAGGGACTCTATGCGACGCAATAAAATATAATTAAAAAAATGAAAAATTGGACTTATACGCATTACGAACAATAGTATAAACATACATAGGGAATAAAAATATCCATTAAAAGAAAAAAGAGTGCATCCCTAGCTTTGACCATCGGCACTTTGATAGTGCGCGGCGTCTTGTTGTCGGCGTCATCAAAGGTCGGATACTGACCTGTCAAAGAAATTGTGCAGCTATTTTAAAGTACAAGGTCAAGATATACACGTGCTGGCTGCTACTATTGATATCGCATACAATCGTCGTCGAGGCGCCGCACGCACTACATTTGACACCGTTTGATTGCCGCCACAGAGTACATGTTCCAAAGAATAAAATAAGTTTCCGGGTGCTCAGAATGGACCCTAATCTTGCAAGGAATATTGTAATTAGATAATGGTAAGGATAGGTGGATATCATAATAATTTATTCTAGTAAGTAATTATTATAACATTAACCATATGGGTTTATAATAATTACTTACTATTATTATTATTATTTAATAGATAAACATGTTCAATAAGTTCACTGCATATTCGACTTTTGGAAGTATGTGTTTTTAAAACACAAAGTGCTCGAATATGTCGTCACCCATTTGATAAATATTGTAGACACTTTTAAAACACTTGAAATGTGTAAAAACGTCATAGTTATTTATTAACGAGTTGGAGGAGTACCTAAGTAAACCCAGAGCCACCAACTCGGAAGACATTTTAGAGTGGTGGAGGACGCATGAGACAATATATCCGATTTTGTCGAAGACAACACTTCAGTACCTGCTGACAGATTATTTTCTAAAGCATCATTAGTAATTAGAAAACATAGAAATAGATCAAGTGATGAGTCAGCCAGATGGTTACTTTGTATTAATGCTTAGTCAAAAGAATTAATATAAAATAACAGTAACGTCAAAGCTATTGCGTACTGTGAAGTAATTTAATTTGTATCGTATTTTATTTTTTATTTAAATAAATGGTATATTGTATAACTCTTTTATTCCATTTCATATATAGTGAGGTTCCATCAATCTCTTTCTAGACAGATAATGTTCTTTAAAATACAGTGAAGTTATTGCCATTAATTTGTTTTTATAAGTTTAACCATGTTTTAGCACATGTAAGCTTATTAAATGTAAACGTTTATTAAGAAACAGACTGACGCCCGTGGCCGTGGGACACGGTAGATAGCTCAGTTGTTTAGAGCATAAAACATAAAATTGACCTTGACGTGTCGAGAGTAGAACACACCTATAACGCTTTGCGTTATGAGGCGCACAAAAGAATGTTCTGAATTATGTATATTGTATGATTAAAAAAAAAGTCTAAATCAAACGTCATTTTGGGAGAATATTTAATAGATAACAAAAATAAATGAAAGTTTCTTGGCTACTCAAATATACTTTTATGAAAGACTTAAAAGAAAGGACTTAAGGGAGAAATCAAAACTCAAATTATGTTTTCGCATTCAATGAAAACATGTCGCTGCTTTGTTTGAAAACCGGCATCCACGTTCATTTTATGATATCAGAATCAATGTATCGAATATACTCGTATAGTTATTCTATTTCAGGATGAAGTTTTGACTTTGCTTGTTGTTAGCCGTGCACATACACGTTGTGTTAGTGTGCGTATACACACACACGTCTGCAAAGTTTAGGAATATCACAATAAGACACTATGGTATAGATCTCATAAATTTATAAATTTCAAAATTATCTGTTATTTTAGAGCACAAAATATTTTTTTCTTTAGAATATACATCTGATCATGAGCTTTAATCGGGAATAGCTTCAAACTACTCAAAATATAGACGTGCAGTCTATCAAAATTCCACAGCTAATCATAGGCCACCCCGATATATTGCCTCATAGGGGTATATACAGCCAAAGTTACCACGCTTGGCAGGCGAGTTGGCAACTGCATTTTTTAGTTATTGTTGGAAAACGCTGCTACCCATCTCCTGGTCGCCCCTAACGTCACTTACGGGATATGGGGTAGTGGATATTCTTACACCACCACTACATGTTCGAAATAAATAATCACATACTTTTATACAAAATATTTCTCTATTTTTAGATTTTTTTTCTTATTTACGTTATTCGTATGCGTAATTTAAAATACACAAATATAAAAAATATAAAAACGTACACAATGCAAAGACAAAAGATTAACAATTAAAACTATACAATATGGCATAATCTACATACTATAGATAATATTGACAATTTGACATAATTTGTAGAATTAATTTCTCGAGTTTTGCAGGCATTACAATTTTTTTAAAGTCTAACATTTTCTCAAGCATGGCTGATGATTATGAAAATGACGTTAGAAGTCTCAACAGCAACCAAAGAACAAAAATAGGGATTGATCCTAACAAAGAGAAAAATAATATAATGTTTCAATTTTCAAAATTAACTAAAACCTTATCCGGTGGTGAAATAAAACGCACATCGTCCGATATCTGTCGAATTAACTATCTCCGAGCTCGGGAGAGTGGGATATCAGGTAAATTAATATATGTACTATAAAGTACTTACTGTATTTGTTAAATATTACATAAGTGTAACAATTCTGACATTTCGTAAGACACTTCCTAAACGTTGTGATTTATAAACTCTTCGGAACATTCCTTTGATAAAACCAGGACAATTAGGTACATGGTATAATTACATTGGATACGAAATGTTTAAAAAAATCATCTTCTTCATCTTTGTTTTTTATAGGATAGGGGTGACAAACGAGAACACAGTCCACCTGATAGTATGTGGTTGTTGTGGCCCATAGACATCTACATCTATCCTCGTTTGCGAATCAAAACGCAGATGCGTTGTCACCCGTGAGGGCTAAGATAGAATGCCTCTTTTCCAGTAAAAAGGGTCTCCGGTTCTCTACACTCACCACACTAAACACAGCAGCATAAAGCTGCTATTTTACGCTGGTATTCTGTGAGAGCATGGTCCTTCCCCGGTCGAGCCGACCCATTCGTGCTACAACTATACTACTTATATAGCTGCAGCACCGCTCTACCACGTATAAAAAAAATATTCTTCTCTATCATAATCTACTGCTAGCCTCTCCAATTTTCCTCTCCTTGGATTTGCTTTAATGTTTTTCATGTAGATTGGTGGTCGCAGTAACAGACGACTCGCACCTTTAACATTGCTCTCTATATTCGGTCTAGGAATTTACGTTTGGCGTTATGGAATGGTTGTACCGGTCGTTATCGGAAGTCATAAGATCTTTTATATATTTTTCCCATGGTCGCTTTTTCCAATACCCATGGGATGAAATGGGATTTTGTATAGAATAAGTGTGACAAACGAGCACATAGCCCACCTGATTTTAAGGATGCCGTGGCCCATAGACTATCACTTACTACATTTTATTATTATGATATATTATGATTAAGAATTAAAATGCAAATGCGCTGTCAATCTTGAGGACTTAGATGGAATGCCTCGTTTCTATGAGAAGCGTTTCCAAGAGTGTAAAAGGTCTCTAATTCTTTACACTAACTATATGATTTTTTTTTTTTTTTTTATAAGATAAGGGTGATAAACGAGCACACAGTCCACCTGATGGTAAGTGGTTGCTGCGGCCCATAGACATCTACATCTATCCTCGTTTGCGAATCAAAATGCAGATGCGTTGTCACCCGTGAGGACTAAGATAGAATGCCTCATTTCCAGTAAAAAGGGCCTCCGGCCACCTGCACTCACCAAGCGAAACGCAGAGGTAAACCTCTACTTCACGTTGGTATTCTGTGAGGTCGTGGTACCACCCCGGTTCGAGCCGGCCCATCCGTGCGACAGCAAAAGCCGCCGCGTGGCTCTACCACTGTTAAAATATGATGATACAAAATATGATATGATACACAGCAGCATTAATCTGCTATTTTACGCTGGTATTCTGTAAGAGCGCCTACCCCGGTTGAGACGACTCATTCGTGTTACAACCAAAATATAACTGCAGCGTGCCTTTACCACGTCTTAAATGTTAAATTGTTGAAAATGGGATGATGTATTCTCATACAACGCAACCACATGGCGAAAAAAGTTATCATCATTAGCCTTCTCTGAGATTAATGTGACTTGCCAGAGTTAGATGGTAGATTCCTCAAGCTTGGAAGACACGTGCAACACGTGACGTTTCGAACCCGAACGAAGTAGGCCTGACATATTTAAATAAATATTCTGCTATCTGTTGGGGATTAAATTTAAAATTTCCATATTTTTTTTACTATTTATGAAATTAAAGTAAATACGTTCATCTTTTAATTATTTGTACAAATAATATTTAGTTAAATACCTTTGAATTATTCTTAACTAGCGACCCGTCCCGACTTCGTCTAGATATTAAAGGGATATATTAAGGTGACATTAAGTTGATTTAAGATTTTTTTTTATAGTATATGGTGACAAACGAGCACACAGTCCACCTGATGGTAAGTGGTTGTTGTGGCCCATAGACATCTACATTTACACAAGATGGAATGCCTCGTTTCTAGTAAAAAGGGTCTCCGGTTCTCTACACTCACCATACGAAACACAGCAGTGTTGAGCTGCTATTTGACGCTGGTATTCTGTGAGAGCGTGGTCCTTCCCCGGTCGAGCCGACCCATTCGTGCTACAAATATATTAGTAGTAACTAATATAGCTGCAGCATGGCTCTACCACGTAAAAAAAGATTAAAAGATAGTCAAAGACTTAAAATTAAACTTAGAAGAGAAAAATAGTATACTATCTGCTCCTGAATTTTCATCACAATCAGATTAACCAGTCCGTAGATTAGCTCGGACAGACAAAAATTACCCGCTGAACTTAACAGAAGCCAATTATTTCAATATTACAGACCAATATTTCAATTTTATTTATATGTATATAAATAGATTATAATTATGAATAGATCACCATATTATCTTGAAAACACAACACAAAATTTTTATTTAAGTTAATTTAAAAACGTCATATCTTATAAATTCTAAGGAATGGCAGTATATTACAAAACTCATATCATTTCTAAGACATCTTTCATCGTATACGACGTCTCTTTCAGCGGAGGGTATTAAACTTTTCAATAACGTTTATCCTGGAAAGGAAATTTCATCACAAGCGTCCGTTTCTTCACAAACTAATACTGAAGGAGATATACTTGAAGAGCAGGTGTGCCACACTCTTTCAATCTTTTGACAGATATATAGCTGTAACAAGAACAACTTTTATTTAAATACTTACGTGATAAAACATTCACTGATCATCATTATTATCATCATTACAGCACTTCACAAATCCAATGCTGAAAATGGGCCTTCCCAAGAAATGCTGTAATACACGATCCTCAGCCACTTGCAATTGTATTTATCGACTTCCTATATGTCATTCCATTTTGTAGGGGCCGCCTTATACTTTGGTTGCCAATTTGAAGCTGCCACTTAAGAATATTACTACCACATCGATCGTCAGTTCTTCAAGCTATATTGCTGGCCCAATGCCTACCTATCAAATCACTGGTCGTAGTATTATTGAATGTATTACACATATCCTCAGACAATCAGATTTCCTCACGATGTTTTCTTTCTCCGCCAATTACCTGGTAAATAAGTGGTTAAAATTGCAATTAACAATTGTATTAGTTCCAGTGGGGATCGAACCTGAATTATTCACGTACTGCGTAATTACGGCAAGTGCTTAACTCCTGATCTACAACAGCTCTTAAAATATTTGGAGGGCGTACGAAGTCCTCTAGCACACACTCTAGCTTCGCCTTCCCACCATCCACGGGAGGGTACTTACAGCCCACCAGTAGGACCTTACTTTAATTTACTTTTCATTTTATTTTGTGTCGTAAAGTTAACGTTAGACTTTTACACGTTTGACTATATACATATATTAATTTATGCATCACAGCCATTCACAAGTCCACTACTGAATATAGGCCTTCCCCCAAGGAATCCCATAAAGCCCGTTCCTGAATCACATGCATCCATCGACCTCCTCAGGTCGCAGGTCATCACTCCATCTAGTGGGGAGCCCACCTACATATCGCTTACCAGTATGGTTGCCACTCGAGAACCTTTCTTAAATACATTTAACAAATAATAATCGGGTCTTATTTGATTTCACAATTTTTTCAATTTGATAAAAGTACAAAGTCACATAAAATTATTAATGCTTTATTACTGTGACTTGTCATTGTGATTTCAGTTCCCCATAAACGTGACAAATTTGATGAATGAAGATCAATTATGGGGCTGTTTCTATACATTTCCCGAGTTGTATTCCGACGTGTATTCGCCTGTCGTGCGTATTAGAAAACCCGAAGACGTGCCGGAGATTGCAGCGGGTGTACTTACACGGGATTTAGTCGCTGCCTGTCTCAGCTATATAAAGCGTACGCCAATTCTCGGAGATTTCGTTTTTATTAAACTAGATCTATCTTCAAAGGTACGTGTTTTTTAAAATACCTATAAAATCAACATTTTAAAAATATATATCGTGTTTTTAAAATAAAAATACGGATATACAATTTGTTTCAGCAAATTATAAATATCGACGTTCTTCAACATTATAAGTACTTGGTATATCTGGATCTGTCATCAAACTTACTAACTGAACTATTTGTTTTATCTCAATTACCTTATCTACAGTTTCTCTCTGTAGCGTACAACAGACTTAATACCGTTTTGGACTACGAAACTCGTAAGTAACTCTAAATAGTATCAACGCAGTCATAATCTTTGAAAATTATGTATACAGCCTATTCCATCCGTCCATCCATTTCAACCTATAAAAGTCCACTACTAAACAGGCCTTACAGGTTTTAATTACTCTCTGTCGTTTCTTACGACATCCTAGGGATGATAAGGGCCAGTGAATATTCTTACACAGCCTCTACAATTTTAATACAGCTTGTTCTGTGTCAAGTTTTTTCTAGTTTATTTCTGCTGCAAGTTTGTTCGTATTTGATAGAAAATGTAATACGAGTGCGTATTATTAACATGCTTCTATCGCTTTTCCAACGAAATGTGTTATCCTGTCAGTGAAAACAATTTCAAAAAGCGGCCAAGTGCGAGACGGACTCGCCCATGAAGGGTTCCGTAGCAGCAAGTAACATAATTTACGATTTATGACGTATTAAAAAAAACTGCTCACTAGATCTCTTCCAAACCAATTTTCGGTGGAAGTTTACATGGTAATGTACAACATATATTTTTTTTTAGTTTTATCATTCTCTTATTTTAGAAGTTACAGGGGGGAGGACACACATTTTTCCACTTTGGAAGTGTCTCTCGCGCAAACTATTCAGTTTAGAAAAAAATGATTTAAAAAACCTCGATATCATTTTTGAAGACCTATCCATAGATACCCCACGCGTATGGGTTTGATGAAAAAAAATTTTTGACTTTCAGTTCTAAGTATGGGAACACCCAAAATTTATTACTTTTTTTCTATTTTTGTGTGAAAATCTTAATGCGTATCACAGAATACATCTACTTACTAAGTTTCAACAGCATAGTTCTTATAGTTTCGGGAAAAAAGTGGCTGTGGCATACGGACGGACAGACAGACAGATAGACAGACATGACGAATCCATAAGGGCTCCGTTTTTTGCTATTTGGCTACGGAACCCTAAAATGGGTACATTTAAAACAGTACAGCCTTTGAAAATGCTCGTAACAAGCGAAACTGGTCATTTTATAAATTAAGTAAATGTGAAAAGTAATGTGAAGTAACAGAACTTCATTTGTGTCAAATAAACAATTAAAAAGGGAATAATCGCAGGTTTAGTGAGTTTTATTTTAAGATAAAATGTTTGTTTGTTTCCAGCTCAATGGTTCTTAACTGAGGTTCATTACAAATACAATTCCGTAACAAAAGTAAGAGACCTAGCTGACTTTTGGTCAATTACTGTTCTGGATCTATCTCATAATAATATAAAATATATTAGCGGATTCGAAAATTTAAGGTATTTTTTTATTTAACATGATCTAAATTTAAAGTATAATTTGTGATTTTTACATTGCTACGGTCAGCTTTCATACCATCAAAATAGGTCTATGAAATTAGCATTTTGTTGATCAGGCCACTTTTAACTGTATGTTCTAAATTCAAATACATTTTATACATATTTGTGGCATGTTATTCCTTTTTCAAAATCAGTTATTCAATTATAATAAATTTCGCTTATGGCGCAATGACAGCGCCGCCATTGTTTCTTTGTGGTTTGTTATTTAAGCACTACTAACGTACGAACTGTACGTTATTGATATTTACCCAAATCGCTCGGAAAATTTTGACCTTAAATATGAATCTCGTGGCCGTTCGGAGAAGAACACTGAGGAACAAAAGGAGATATTAGATTAGTATCCTTCTCAAACTAGGGGTGTGCTAGAGTCGACTTCTGATGTAAGCGTCAAAACAATATTAAATCATTTGCGGCATAACGGTAAAATAAATAAGCTTGACAAATGATGCACAGCAAGGAGCTAGCATTCAAATTGCATCACATCCCTAAATTAACATAGAAAAGAGGTAATTTTCCCAGTGAAGAGAAGTGGATCCTAAACTACCTTTGATGAACTATATTAATGAATATTTGCATCACAGTGATTAAATCCAGAAGTCCAAGAAATTTAAGATTACGGTTTGGTGGTCTACTATTTGTGCTTTTAACTATTACTTCATGTCATCTAGTTCCGCACTCACTGTTGGCTGTTATTGTCAAGAATTATTTGCAATTGATGATGATGATGATTGAAGCTCAAGAAACCCAGCTTGGTGCACTGCGCTTCGGCACTGCTTCTTCATGATAACACCCTGCCACAAACTGCACAATAGACGTTGAAAAAATTTGCAGAGCTGAAGCTAGAAACCCTTTTCCATTCACTATATCTAGACCTTGTCCTAATGAACTTCCACTTTTACTTACAAACTTTCTGATCACAAAAATTTCGATTCGAAAGAAGCAGTAAAGAACCCTTTTAAAGATTTCATCAATTCTCGTGCAGCAGTCTTTTATAGGATGCACATAAAGATACTCCCTATAAAATGGCAATAGTTCATAGTTGAAGCAAATTATAGATTAATAAAAAAATGATCGTTTTCCCGCACAAAACGGAAATTCCATAGGTATTACTGATAGTTACTTTAAAAGACCTAAGTAAACCTTTATGTTATGATCTACATCAAACGAGTACAGGACATTCAAATGCGCCTGTATTTTATGCAATATTTCACATAATTTTAAGTATGAATCGTACGCATTAACGTGCAACGTCCTAAAGTTGTTCTAAGACTTTCTCTTTATATCTATGTATAGATGTGGGTATACGAAGTATTCCACTTGAGCTACTTAAGGACTACCTTATGGGGAGGGCACAGAGAGTAAAAGTGGGTCATACTGTAAGCGGTCGAATGAATGTGTATTGTATGTGTAATACCACTAATGTGATATGGAAGAGTGGCTCCTTCTGACACAGGTGCAAATGCACTTAAAAGAATAAGTTAACCTAGATTTAAGACAAACCTTGTTAAAGAAATAAACTTTTATTTTATTTTTTATTTTATTTTTTTTTTTATATCTTATAATCCATATTTTTTAAAGCAGTAAAAAGCTAATTCAATAAAAAAAAGGAATAAAATTATTTCCTCATAACTTTACACATTCTGAAGTCAGTGCTAAGACAAAGTGTATCGGTGATTTTTGCTATTTTAAAAACTGTAATTATTCCGCCCTTTTGTGTGGACTAAACAATAACCCAAGCTCAAGGTGGCAACGTCATCTGTATGGTTACATTAATATTTTTATCCTTTTTTGTTAACTTTTAAAAGTGTTTTTTTTTTTCAAATTTAAACGGAACTAAATTTGAATTATAGACTGTTCAATAAAAATAATCATTAAAATCGGATGACAATAGGAAAAGATATTGCGTAGCATACAAAACAACACTTACAATCGCATATTTAGTCAAAACTTAAATCGCTGGCTCTTTTTGTTCAGACTATAACACTGGTGATAAATTCGTGAAAAAAAAATGCTTCACAATCGAGTACGTAGATGTGACAATTTCCTGAACAGACTAGCCAAATTTTGCACAGGAACATAGAACCAATTTCCGACCCGGCACGTAACCATTCGTGCGGCAGGACAGTACGTGCAACGTTTCTACATCTATTATGTATTTTGAGTTATTGGCAATGTTAGTTATTTCTTTACATTAGAGCTGGTTAATGTAATATAATTATTATAACAGTGTTAATTTTTTTTTAATATTTCGGTTAGTTTACACTCATTGAAACAAATGTACCTACAAAAATATAGTGGCCAGTAGTAGCGGCGTAAGGGCGAGGCTAAGAAGCAACAGAGGAAAATTAAACAACTGCAACTTACTGATACCTAATAAAAATAATAAAAATCTACGGTTGCCAAGCCGCTTGCAAAGTAAGGTTACTATGGCAACCGTATTAATCTATGGGGAGGCCTATAAAGGCTACAGAGGACTTTAGACAGGCTTTAATGAAAATGCATCAAAACAAAGAAATTTCTAACAGAAATTCATGAGCAAAAAATTATTTCTTACCCTCCTTCTGGGGCAGTCGGGTAATGTTTTTCGTATGTATGTATGTAAGTTTATTTCTTTGTTACGTTTTGTAACTCAAATGGCTTGATATATCTATACATAAGGAGTGTCGTTAGAATCGTCATAGTTGTAGAAAAAACAAAGGATATATTTTTTTTACTTTTCAGTAACCTTTTTTACGCAGTCGGCCTTTTTTAATTACTGTTTTGACCTTTGGACTTGTTTCAGATATTTACGTCGTTTAGACCTATCCTTTAACCATATTAAAAGACTTGAAAACTTAAATCATCTCAGACTTTTGTGGCTAGATGTATCTTACAATAATATTGCAAACTTTGAATTCAACGAGAATGCCGGCCTGTGGTCGCTTTTAGATCTCGAATATTTAAACCTCAACGAAAACAATCTTACTTGTATGAAAATATTTTCAGGATGTACCAGGTATTAGCCTCAACAAAATCTTTTCTTTTAGTTGTTGCTTGAGTTAAACAAAACTATACTACTTTATGTGCAGGCTAATTAGAGACTTTGAGGCACTTTGTCGTAATGATATCGTAATGAGGTGACAACCCTTCCGTTGCCTCTTTTGTTACAAATTGGTTAACGTGGGATGCAACAGCCACCCATCGTCGTTTTACTATAGAAGTAGGGGGGCAAACGAGCTCACTGTCTATCTGATGATAAGTGGATCCTAAGGTCTTGGACAGCTACATCTATCCTCAATCAAGAATCAAAATGCGTTTTCATCCCTGAGTATGGAATATCACGTTACCAATACAATTAATCTCCGAACCCCGTCACATAACCTGTTGTCGTCGTTTATCGTTTCGTTTCATGTCGGCATTGTTCTACTATTTCTCGCTGGTGTTCTGTACGGACGTGGTCTCGACCTATTTGTGCTTCAACCATAAGACGCCGCATCCTGGCTTTACACGTACAAATATGGACTGTAAGCTTTGTTTGTCACTGTAACATTAGAATGTTCTTTAAAGCTAGCTTTGTTAGTTATTTTTATAAAAACATAAACACTCACGCCTGTCACCCAGAGGGGTAGGCAGAGACTATTGACTTTATTTTGGCACGATCCTGAAACACCTTTCTCGCTTCCTCCACATCCATATACCTACACATACACGCTCGTCGGTTAAAGGCAGGGCCGGAAACCGATTGAAATTCTAAACCGGTTTCGGTCATTGACCCCAAAACCGGTTTTTGCGGAATACCGGTTTTTCACATATTTCGGTTTAGGTAGTAAGAATTAACCGATTAAAACTAAGTTTTGTAATGTCCCCCTCTCCCTTACCACGCTTGCACCCATCTTTGTACGGCTGCCACTATTTAATTCCCGAGGTTTTTAGACACATGCGCGATATATTCATTGCATCAACGCGACTGCCTTGTGACGTAACTCCGTCATATTTTTTCATCTTTTAGCAACGATCGTATTATAAATAACAGATGTAAGTTCTGTTTCAAATAGTTATGCGTTATCTTCACTTTAAAATTAAGTTTTGATATCAATATTAATTTGACGTTATATATTTAAATTGACTTTAATTATATTTAACGTATTCTATTAAAATTACGCTATGCATCTTTATTTCAATGTCATTAGTTTTAGTAATATATCGCAATAAATGATGAACTTTCTTAACAGAACACAATATTTTTAAAAGTTATTGAAATTATATGTTATAGTATTTTTGTTCTTTTTAGGACTAAAGTGATGCAGATTAACAGATGTTTTTTTTAAATTCAGAAGCTCGTAATTACGACCAACCTCTATCTCAGTCTTTGCAAAATTAATAATGACCACTTCTGAGGTGAAAAGTTTAACTAGAAGTCATGTCTAAACACGATAAAAAATTGTTTGTTATGTTCAGAGAATTCTAACAAAAGAAATTACCATTTTTCACATCTCATTAAAGCGGAAATGGAGCAAATCTTATCATGTTGTGTACATGCAAGATGCTACTAAAAATATTAGTTTTTGTAAATAGAGTACAAGGTAACCACATAGACGAAATTAAATTAACTGATACTGAAATTAATAAAGAAAAATAATTTGAATCTAACAAAGCATTATGATTAAATTCGGCTATACTTTGCTGTCGACTGTAACCAAATACATACACTAAAAATCCTGTCTTTTATTTAAAGTAATTATTAATAACTCTCAATTAACTACATCATCAGTATAAATCACACTGATATCTACCATCATGTATTGAATTATAAAAGCGAATTATTAAAAGTGCAGCCAAGTTTTCTAACGCCTCAAGATCAAAATAATATAGTAATCACTTTCCAATTTTTTACAAACTTTCATACTTTACGCATACGAAACTATTAAAATAAATAAAATTGAAGTGTCTGTTCGTAACGTCAAAATAACAGATTTTTACTAAATATATATCATGAAAGTATATAATTTTGTCTGTCTGTATGTGGTTACTAGCGCGACTGTGAATCATGATTTTGTCCTGGGCTTAAATCGTGTCCCAGGTCGTGCCAAGTACCGTTATTGGATTAATTTGGATATAATGAGTGTTCTAGAAACCACCCTGATAGTCGTATTTAGCTCTCAATCAAGCACTTAGATTTTTGGGTTTTCTCGTAGTACGTTTGCTTATAGAAAAGGGGGCAAACGAGCATGCGGCTCACCTGATGGTAAGTGAATACCGCCGCCCATGAACAACCGCAACATCAGGGGAATTGCAGAAGCGTTCCCGGCCTTTTAAAAAGGAGTAGGCTCTTTTCTTGAAGGTCCCTAAGTCGTATCGGTCCGGAAAAATCGCTGGTGGTAAACTATTCCACAAGGAAGTTGTGCGAGGAAGAAAACATCTTCTAAATCGCACAGTGGTGGACAGCCAATCATCCAAATGGTGTGGATGGTATCGGGAGTTCTGCCGCGATGTGCGTTCGTGAAATTTGGCAGGTGCGATTAATCCGAACAATTCCTCAGAGCACTCCCCGTGGTAAATGCGAAAGAAAATGCAAAGAGATGCAACATCTCTTCGCAGCGCCAATGAGTCGAGCCGATCGGAAAGGACTAGGTCGTCGACGATTCGAGCCGCTCTGCACTGGATGCGGTCAAGTGGAAGGAGGTGGCACTGGGGAGCCCCAGCCCAGAGATGGGAACAGTATTCCATGTGAGGCCGAACCTGCGCCTTGTAAAGTTGCAGGCGTTGAGCCGGCATGAAATACTGTCCCGCTCTGCTGAGCACGCCAAGCGTTTTAGAGGCCAATTTGGCCTTTTCTTCCAAGTGACCACGAAACTGCACGTTACTCGATTTATCGATGCCGAGGATTCCGATACTGGCTGAGGCAATAAGGGGAGTACCTTGAAACTGAGGAAATACGACAAAGGGGTTCTTTTTAGCGGTAAACGCTAGATTTTTTCTGAGGATTAAACTGCACTAGATTTAGTCGCCCCCAATCCGAGATTTTGTCCAGCAAAGACTCGACTTCAGACACAAGTTTGTTCCGGTACTCGGTGACGTTTTCCCGAGAAATATTGGCAGGGGAGCGTGAGTGGCACCACACTCCGGATCAGACAATGGTCCGAAGAGCCAAGAGGGGCAACGACGGAAACCTGATATCCGTCCGGATGAGAGGTCAGCAGAAGGTCCAACAGGGAAGGTGTATGATCCTCAACATCTGGAATCCGCGTAGACGATGTAACCAGTTGTGTCAGACCATATGCCGAGGCAAAATCTCTTTGCCAGAGATCTGTCTGCCAGAAAGAGCCAACTGTCAAAGCTGAAGACCGAGTGTGGCAGCATCGTTTCCGGGGCACCTGGGATTTTGAGTGAGATTGAGAGGTTCTATGGGCAGCTGTACACGTCATCGTTGGAGCCACACGCAAGTGTGAGTAACGATCCAAGAGCGAGTCTTATCCGACACTATTCCGAAGATATCCCGTACGTCAGTCTGAGTGAGATTAGAATGGCTCTCCAGCTCCTTAAAAACAGCAAGGCCCCAGGCGAGGATGGAATTACAGCGGAGCTTCTGAAAGCGGGTGGAAAACCGGTACTTGAAGTCCTTCAGAAGCTCTTTAATTCCGTCCTCCATGGTGGCATTACACCGGAGGCGTGGAGCAGAAGTGCGGAAGTGAAGAACCACAGACCGATTTCCCTTCTGAGCCGCGTCTACGTGCTGTCTTCGAGAGTCATTACGAATCGTCTCGCGCGCAGACTTGATGACTTCCAGCCTGCCGAAAAAGCCGGTTTCCGAAAGGGCTTTAGCACCATAGACCACATACATACCCTTCGGCAAATTGTACAGAAGTCCGAAGAGTACAATTTGCCACTATGTCTGGCGTATGTGGACTATAAGAAAGCCTTTGATTCCGTTGAAATTTGGGCGGTGCTGCAGTCCCTTCAGTGGTGCCAAGTTAACTGTCGGTATATCGAAGTGCTGAAGTGTTAGTACAGTAGGGCTACAATGGCTATCCGAGTACAGAACCAGAGTACGAAACCTATCCTAACTGCAGAGAGGTGTAAGACAGGGTGACGTTATATCCCCGAAACTCTTCACCTCTAGATTGGAAGATGTTTTCAAGCTACTGCACTGGAAAGGATGCGGTATTAACATCAATGGCGAGTACATCACTCACCTTCGATTTGCCGACGATATAGTCCTTCTGGCAGAATCGCTGGAGGACCTAAGCATTATGCTCAATGACCTCAATAGTGTCTCCCAACGGATAGGTCTTAAGATGAACATGGACAAAACAAAAATCATGCACCTATGCCGGTAGTTGTTGGGAGCACTAACCTCGAAGTTGTTGACGAGTATGTTTACCTGAGACAAATAGTCCGACTAGGTAAGTCCAACTTCGACCGAGAGGTCAATTGACGGATTCAACTCGGCTGGGCAGCGTTTGGGAAACTACGACACGTCTTCTCGTAAGACATACCTCAAAACCTAAAAACGAAATTGTACAACCAGTGCGTGTTGCCAGTGATGACTTGCGGATCTGAGACGTGGTCCTTCACTGCTGGCCGTATGAGGAAGCTCAAGGTCACTCAGCGGGCTATGGAGAGGGCTATGCTTGGGGTGTCTCTGCGTGATAAACTTAGAAATGAGGATATGCGCAGTATAACCAGAGTAACCGACATAGCCCAATGGATTAGTAAGCTGAAGTGGCAGTGGGCTGGCCGTATAGCTCGAAGAACCGACAACCGATGGGGAAGAAAGGTTCTCGAGTGGCAGCCTCGTACCGGTAGGCGAAGTGTAGGGCGACCCCCACTAGATGGAGTGATGACCTGGTGAGACATGCAGGAAGTCTATGGATGCAGGTGGCTCAGGACCGTGCTTTGTGGCATTCCTTAGGGGAGGCCTACGTTCAGCAGTGGACTTGTGAAGGGCTGTAATGGTGATGATGATGACATGTGAAGTTCGCTAACAAATATTGGGGCAGCGCGGCGGACATTTACTTGCCCTAAAACCCTCTCAGAAATAAGAGGAGGCTTGTGCCCAGCAGTGGGACGTATAAAGGCTGCAACTTTGCTTTACTTTACTTTTGTTCCGGTAGTCGGAGACGCTTCCCGAGAAATATTGGCACGGCCGGTGTATATTGCATCACCAGTGCTGTCGTTGTCACCAGCATTAATAGACTTGTAATCAGAGCATGCACCGTCTACTACGACCTTGATGCTCCGATCAGCAAGGAAACTGGTGATCCAATTGCACAATTTCTCGAGAAGCCTATAGGAAGGGAGCTTCGAAAGAAGCGCTTTGTGCCAAACCCCATCGAAGGCATTCGCAATGTCCAAACCTACCCCTTATTAATGCCAATGCCTACCCCTTAGACTCTACTGCCTCCGCCCATCTATGAGTTAGATAGACCAGAAGATCACCAACTGATCAACCCCGACGAAAACTGTTTATAATGGATTCCATTATTTTGGAGAACAAGGAGGTGATGGCGATAGGCCTGTAGTTTGACGGGTCTGAGCGGTCGCCTTTTTTAGGGATCGGGTGAACCAAAGCTGTCTTCCCTGAAATTGAGATAACGCCTTAGGAGTGTACTACTTCGGAGCACACGTTTTCAGCACAATGGAAGGGAACCGAGCGCTGTGTAAGCCGCACATCTGGCATGGAGCACTCAAACCGCGGGATGGTCGGCGGTGTATTCCGCCGTCATCGAGAGTCGAGTTGCACGCAAAAAGAGAGATTAACAGATCGGCTTTCTCCTTTGCGGCATGGACTCAGTGAGTCGCTCTCTCTTTGCAGAGAGGGCTGACAGAAGTTCCCTTGGACAGCCTTAGCAAGAGACCAGAATGAACGGGTTACCGAAGGAAGGCGAACTAGCCTCTCACCTACTCCGCCGATGTGCTCTGACCTTGCCTTGGCAATTAATTTTAAAGAACCTGGAGGCGGAATTATACTTCTTTTGAAGAGCGCTGATGTTTATATCTCGATACATCAACGTCTCGGAATGTAAAGATGTCGTCAGCCCAGTGCTAGTAGTACTCTTGCTTATAGTGTGATGCTATTTTACATGAGCGACCAAACTATGGCTGGAATCTGCCTCCGAGGGGCACCACAGAAGATGGAATAAAAGGTTCCATATCCTCAAGTACCATATCCATTTGTCTGTGTTTGATTGTCCAGCGAGAAGCAAATTCGCCCTCAAGGGTAGAATGCAAAAAAAGACCGCATCCTTTCCCAATCGGCCGATCTGTACTGCCAAACACGGCGGCTGCCTGCAGAATGCAACCGCGAAGATAGTGTGAGTGACGCCACCCTCCGGACAAGACAATAGCCCTAGGATCCGTGAGGGGTGTCAACGGAAACCTAATATCCGTCCGGATAAGAGGTCAGCAGAAGTTCCAACAGGGAAGGCGCATGATCCTCCACATCTGGAATCCGCGTAGGCGCGTAGGTAGTAACCAGCTGTGCAACCATATGACAAGGCAAAGTCATAAACAAATTTCCCCACATGATCGGTTCAATGTGAACCGAGCCATTCGACGTGATGGTCGTTAAAATCGCCAAGGATCACAATCTCTGAGGATACCCCCCACCCCCCACTCCCTTGTATACCAGAATACGCGGGGCAGCTTGAGCACACATGCTCAGGGGCAGTAGGGTAGCTTGGGCGTGGGTGCTCAGCGAAGGATTCTCCGTCACCAGGATTCTGGTATCCTCCTGGGGTAGTTTTTTATTTGATGCCGCTACCATACTTTAAGGGGGAGGGGAATTGGGCCTCCGACCACCTACACCTACCAAGCGAAACGCAGAAGTAAACTTCTACTTCACGCTGGTATTCTGTGTGGTCGTGGTACTACCCTGGTTCGAGCTGGCCCATCCATGCGATAGCAAAAGCTGCCGCGTGGCTCTATCTACTACTACTGTTAAAACGTAAACATGGAATAAATTCTATTTACTTTTTTTCAGCCCATCATAAATAAACAACCGATACACAAGAATAAATTATTTTCTTCATTATGAGACAAGTCCGGTCTTAACGAATAAACCAAACACAATAACTGCCTTTCTTTCTTCAAAACTTCTCCAATACTTTCACGTTTTTCGTAAACGCCAATCTCCCACTACACACCCTGATCGCGACTAAAACAATGTATCGCTTAAAGGCAGATAATTGATGTGTGCCCGCATGCGACGATGCCGCATAAGCACCTCGCAACGTGAATCTACCTGTCCTATTCATAACTGCCTTTACGTTTTACGGAATTAACCGGTTAATTTGGGTGTCGAAACCGTTAAGTAACCGGTAACCATTATCGTTTAGGTTTAATAAAAACCGGTTAATTTTTTTACCGGTAATTGAAAGAGCGATATATTTACCGGTAATTAATCGAAATTAACCGCTCTTTTTAAACCGGTTCCGAGCCCTGTTAAAGGTACTGTTAATTTGGCCCATTTTCAATATATCGCCAATTTAGTCGATAAACTTTCGCCTAGGGCGTCACTTCCCGATTCTGCCGTTCACCACTGCAGCATAAATTTGTTTTGTCACTCTTTCCTCATTCATTCTTTCTACATGAATTTGTTAGTTAATCATAATTCTTAAAATTAGTTGTATTCTAAGTTTATAAAGTATAGAAATCATTAAAATAAAAGATTTAAAAAAAGCTGAACGAGAATCCAAGTGTAAAATTTTAACAGTGGTAGAGCCACGCGGCAGCTTTTGCTGTCGCACGGATGGGCCGGCTCGAACCGGGGTGGTACCACGACCTCACAGAAAACCAGCGTGAAGTAGAGGTTTACCTCTGCGTTTCGCTTGGTGAGTGCAGGTGGCCGGAGGCCCTTTTTACTGGAAATGAGGCATTCCATCTTAGTCCTCACGGGTGACAACGCATCTACATTTTGATTTGTAATGGAGGATAGATGTAGAAGTCTATGGGCCACAGCAACCACTTACCATCAGGTATATAGGTATATATCACAACCAAAAATTTATAACACGTGCTAATAATTGATTAATTTTTCGTTGATATTTTAGGTTACGTGAACTCCATGTCCGTAATAATAGACTTGGTGTACTTCTTGAGATAGCGGTTTACATGCGTCAGTTGCGACGTCTCACCACACTAGACATGCGCTCCAACCCCGTATGCTCGACTCCGGGCTACAAGGATGTAGTCATTAGAACATTTCCTCTTCTACTCTATATCGACGCTGAATGTCTCGACCCTATTGAACAGGTTTGAATATATAAATTCAATTTTAATAAATTTGTAAATAATTATGTAAACGTTTTATATATCTGATTAATTTTTAATGTGCTATATACACTAATGTATAAGTATATATTTATATAGAGTTTTTCACAGCCCAGCGCAGTTATTACAGGGATTTAATTGAGGTACGAGTAGAAATGCTAATAAATAAAACTTAACGTGCGAGAAGGTATGCAGGTCTAATAAGACCAGTATCACTGCTACAGTGCCTATAATTAAAATGAAAAGTGCCCAGCAGTGGAAAGCTGACATAATATCTTATTAAATGAAATATTTAAATGATTTCACTCCTAACTACCTTTGTTTTATTGTCATTCTTCACTACGCACCGAAGTACCAAGACATTCTTCCGCACTCTATATCCCCAAAATAAAAGGTCTTTTGCGGAACAGTGTTAAGCTTAAAAAATAAACTTATTTTTGCCAATAATTATTGACTGGCACTCTTGTTTTCATCATTTTGATAGATATATAACATATAAATAAAAAGATTTGCAATGCCCCGCCCAACACACACATAGATACTACTTTTATAATAAGATTCATAGCGCAGCCCATCATATATATAAATCTAAATTATATGATTAAACACATATTGCTTTATAGCGTACTTCAAATATGGAAATGAACATGGATATAAACACGTTCGCGTCACGTAGATTACTGCGGTTGCTATATATAGAACAATTATCAAAAACTAGCGTTTCTCCATTCACACCGCCCGCAGACACCACTGAAGTTCCACTTGTGGTTCTTGTTGGTTATGAAGCTGTTGGTAAAGGTGATGTCTGAAATATAATATTATACATATTTAACATCATTTGTTGCTATAATTTAATCATTACAGTATCCCAAGAAGTCGGTTATCATGAACGAAGATGACATTTTAAACAATTTATGCATAGATATTTACAGATCTGTGCATAAATTGGATTGGATTGTAACAGGAGATATTTCCGATTATTTCCATATAACTATAAGTGACAAATGAGCAAACAGTCTTCCAGATGGCCTAGCCTTTATGTGGATACAGTAGCTTATAATAAATATCCATATTCACATTTGACCCAAAAATTAAAATCCTAAAAATTAAATTAGTTAGTAAACTTTATCTATATTAAAATTATCTACATGATGCAAATTAACATAAAATTGGTCCTTACTGCCCTGACGGGTATTCGCACGTATATTATGATATAAAAATTAACAGAGAAACATTTTAAAATTTAACTAAATACCATTTACTGTTAACGATATTAGTTCAGATTTTTAAACTAGGTACCCGAACTCTATAATCGTTTATTTATTTACGCTTTATTGTAATCAACTTAATCAAAAGAGTTACAAAGGACGGACGTAAATAATAAGAAACATATAAATATAAAATTTATTACAGTCAAGTCTTTTTTCAGGAACCCTTGCTAGACGTCTTGCTACAGAATATAGCTCGAATATTCAATTGGCAATACAGCATACAACAGCGTCTCATCACTTTGTCGATCACTATATACGCGTATCAAGAAAAAAATTTGACGATATGATTCTAAATGGAGAGTTTTTAACTTACAGTGAAAGGGACGGTGAATCATACGGACTAAGTATTACATTTTATGCGATTTATTATTTCATTCATAAATATGTATACTCTCCTATCCAACTCTCTATACTGAAATATAAGAGAACTTCATATTCATCCAGCTGTTACCCGCAGCCGTGTGGTGGCAGCGGAAGAGAATTCATCATTCTATTTCGCCCCATGCCAAAAAATCTGAGGACTCCCAATAGACGGCGTAGTTCAGTGGTCGTCTGGCTTCTTAGCATTGAGTTTAAGCCGGATCCTTTATCTCTCTATCGATCCGAACATTTCTATTTAAAGTCATACTCACAATCGCCTTTTTTATCATCAGCCACTACTGGATATTGGCCTCTCCCATTTTACAAAGACCGGCGACGGAAATCAGCGTCAAAAGTGCGAAAAGTCTAGTACTGCGATCGTCACAACCTTGACGATTAAGGCAAATCCTTCCTGTGATGGGAAAGACCTATATAACATTAGGCTTTTAAAGGCTGATGAAAAAGACAGCGAAGAAATTCCTTAACCCGTAATAGTTCGCTTATAAATATAACGATGTCCCGTTGTACAAGGGATTTGTTGCAATTCACCAAGCTTGGCAAATGGAGTTGCTATCGCAGTACAAGATATCATTTAAATCAGAAGCAACGAAGTAGAAATAATGAAAATAAAGAAAATTGACGTTCTAAAAAACGTTGCAGTAGTTAAGTTTAACCACAGAATAAATAATAGTGCAAGAACAGTAGGATCACTCTCTGATAGCAACCTTGCGAGTTTAAATCTAGTTACAACGTCGCTAATGTTCATAATACTTTGCACTCCTCGGATACGACCTTCGTTAAAATTGCCTATCGATTAAATCTACGAAAAAAATTAATGCGGCGCGCGTATTAAATCAAAATGCACCTTATCTTTTAAAAGACATTGCCTCCACACCAGGATTTACAAACATTCAGACCCAAAACAATTATTTGTAGGCCATACGAATACTTATTAATATATTACTATTATAAATTAGTATTATTACTTATTATAAATTAGTAATTTTGTTATTGAGAATGTTTTAACTAATAAAATTACTATAAAAAATAAGGTCGTGAAGAAGCTTTCATAAAAGATGGAAGAGTTCGACTAGCAACAATGGATTTGATTGGAGCTCTAATGCTTAAACTTCGTGGTCGACAACCCTACCTCATTTTAGCATCACACTCAAACAAAGCAACACTTTCCAGAAGACAGAAAGCACGAAAAGAGTAAGAATTTTTGTCAAACCTGCGAATAGTTATTATTACATTAACATTACACATTCTGTCATTTTTCAGAGCACGTATACTGGCCAACGAAAAGAAAATATCTATGATGCTACCGCAGGAAATATCGACCTTGCAAATGTTATTATCTGGACGAATAATAGTAACTGGAATACTTAATGAAATTCTCCTCGTAATTATTTTTTTCTTTTCTCTCAGTTTAATTTAATTGACAAACTATTTGCTTTTACTACTCTTCTCTCCTTACAAAATTTTACAACAGGCAGTACCTGCACCGACTGAACACACGTCATCTTTAAATACATCTGAATATCCGTTCATGACTGAAACTGAAGCAGACCACAAATCCGTTAAAGCTGCCAACAAATTAGGAACTATGAATATGGTTCGTACTTTCATAAGACTAAAAGAATCGTACAGTTAAAACGTTTTTTTAACCAAAGTATCTCTTAATCATAATTTAAAAACTGGAACTTAATTTTGTGTACTGATGGCGGTATTTGCAAAATTTGGTTTTATTTGGTTAAAGAAAGTACCCTAATACAGGAAATTGCCGTACCGTTCCTTATTTTTTGGGGTAGTCGATATTAGAAGCCAAGTGGTCCCGCTATATTGAAAAGCGCTACACCTTCCAAGGCTTTCGATTGTGTTCACCATGAAATATTAATCAGGAGACTTCAACACTACGATGTAAGAAGTGATGCCCTTAAATTAATTATTTCATATTTAATAACAGAACGCAAAATTTGTCATTAATAGTATGAGTTCTTCCGGGTCGATGGTACCAATGGGCATTCTTCAGTGCTCAATCCTCGGCTCCTTACTGTTTCTTGAATATATTAATGACTTATGTTACATAATAGGGAATACCTTATCATGATATCAAATTAAAGTTCGTATGGAGTCCCCTGATGTTGCAGAAATCCACGGATGGCGTGACACGGGTCGCCTTGGTGTTATTGCAGCTTGCCCCGAGCAGTTTTTGTCTCGAATTTGGCACAAAGCGCTTCTTTCGAAGCTTCTCTCTTATTATCCAAGAAATTATGTAATTGGGTCACCAGTTCTTACAGATCGGAATATTGAGGTCGTAGTCAACGGTGCATGCTCCGACTGTGAATGCTGGTGTTTCACAAGATTGTGTGCTATCCCCTACCCTCTTCTTTCTGCATATCAATGATATGTTGTATACGTAACATTCATTGTTATGCAGACGATAGCAGTGGCGATGCTTTATACACCGACTGTGCTAATATTTCTCGGGAACACGTCGTCGAGTGCCGGAACAAACTTGTGTCTGTAGTCGAGTCTATCTAAATCTAGGCCAGTTTAATCCTCAAAAGACACAGGTTTGCGCGTTTACTGCAAAAAAGAACCCCTTTGTCGTATCTCCTCAATTTCAACGCACTCCCCACGTCGCCTCAGCCAGCACCGGAATCCTTGGCGTCGGCGAGAGGCGTACAGTTCCACCGTTACTTGGTGGAATAATATTCTCATCTCTAGGATGGGGCTCCCCAGTATCAGCTCCTTCCACTTGACCGTATTCAAGGAAGAGCGGTCTGAATCGTCGACGATCAAGTTCTTTTCGATCGGCTTGATCCACTGGCCTTTCAAAGAGACGTTGCATTTCTATGCATCTTCTACCGCATATGCCACGGGGACTGCTCAGAGGATTTGTTTGGATTAATACCAACTGCATAATCTTGATAACTGGCGGTACACTACTGTGCGATTTACGCGGAATTTTCTGCCTTGCACGGCCACACTGTGGAATTTACTGCCACCAGCGGTTTTTTCGGACCGATACGACTTAGGGGACCTTCAAGAAAAGACCCCACTCTTTTCTAAAAGGCCGTAAACTCGCCTGCAATTCCCCTGTATTGCGAATGTTCATAGGCGACATAGGTGATTACTTCCCCACGCGCCCTTAGGCACGTGCCTAGTTTACCTTAGGGATAATCCGCCACTGTGCAACCTCTAGGTCATACCTATGCCGGTACTTATTGGAAGCACTAAGTTCGAAGTTTTTAATGAGTATGTTTACCTGGGACAAATAGTTTGACTAGGTGAGTCTAACTTCGACCAAGAGGTCAATCGACATATTTAATTCGGCTGGGAAGCATTCGGGAGATTAAGATACATCTTCTCGTCAGGTATACCTCAAAATTGAAAACAAGATTGTACAACCAATGCGTGTTGTGAGTGACGACGTATGGATCTGAGAAGTGGTCCTTCACTGCTGGCCGTATGAGGATGCTCAAAGTGCCGGTTCGGCGACCGATGGAGAGGGCTATGCTCGGGGTTTCACTGCATGATAAACTTAGAAATGAGGATATCCGCAGTAGAACCACTGACATAGCCCAACAGATTAGTAAGCTGAAGTGGCAATGGGCCGGCCATAAAGCTCGAAGAACCGACAATCGATAAGGAAGAAAAGTTCTCGAGTGGCAGCCTCTTACCGGTTGGCGAAGCCCCCTTACAGATGGAGTAACGACGTAGTAAGATATGTGGGAAGACGATGGATGGCTCAGGAGTGGGCTTTGTGATATTCCTTGGAGGAGGCCAATGTTCTGTAAAGATACGTATCTCATCTTCATTACAGCCCATTACCATTTTATATTTGTGCCGATGTTATAATTTAATTTTCTCCTCTTTTAATATAAATAATATCCGAAAATTAGCGCTTAATTCTAATGGGAATTATCATAGTAGATACCCGAACTGATTAAAGCAAGTAAAATATAATATATATATTTTAGTACCATAAACGTCTAAACAAATAAGAAATAATATATGTTATAAATATAAACTCACCCGCATCCAATGTAATGCCTATGCAATTAGTTCGAAAACCTTACTCATTACTGCTCATAATGAAACATATTGATGTATAAAATAACAACGCTTACACAAAATATGCTTTTAGAGTTCCTCCTCGTTTAGGAGCTACGGCAAGAAATCTACACACAGAAGTAGTGAGGTTGGTGGTACGAGCATATATTCGCTATATAAAGCACCCAAGGGCACTGCTGATTATATCAGTGAAACAAATGCTAAAAAGTAAGTAATTTAAAACTGAAACAAAATAAAGCTAGCGGCATGGTCTTAATGTTTCAGGGTGTCATCTGCGAAACTTAAAAAGTCGTAAGTTCAAATTCATCATTTGACTAAGTCTTAATCCCATGAACCATTTTCTAGCATTAGTATAAGCTTTGTTGAAATAGTAACTATAAGGTCTTAAGTTCACACTGTTGTACTCTTTTTTTTAAAGACAAAAAAATTTTTTCGGGCACCATAATATTGTTATAAACGTGCGTGTTTAGCGTTCAAGAAACTGTTCGTTAATTTGAATAAAGTTTTTACTAATCAGAACCTAATATAAATCTAGTATTATAGTATATTTAAAAATGTTGTCGGTTATGTCATATTAATTAAACCCATTTATTCATAGATTGCACCGCAAACGACGTGTACTATTTTTTGTTCGGTACTAAATCTATTTTATCCCAACAATGTGAATAAATTGTCCTTTGGTTAAAATCTGTATCAGAGAATAAGCATTATCGATCTTATTTTCCAGTTGAAGAAGTAAAAAATAAATGGGGAAAATTAAGTAACTGCTTTGCTTTGCCGCTTTGTGTGAAATGGCGGCGTAAGCATATCTACTACTCCATATCATCTCGTGAGTGTCTGAGAGAGGACCGAGGGAAATCTAAACAGGAGATGAGCGACACTGCTGCCCATCTCGTTCTCCGTAACAGCTGAAATTAATATTTAGAGCTTGCCAAAGACTAAAGCATTCCCGCGTTATTGTATTCACACAATCATACACATGAAATTGCCGTTTAATAATGCTGGCTAATTAAAAATAGATACCTTGCATCCCAGTCGCAATTCCAAAGTCCAACCTGAAATTAATATCATATTACGAAAGTCACATCTAATTTGTTAATTTTCTTTAAGGTCTGAATTTCTGCAGACGCTAAACAAAATCGATAAACGATCTACAAATAAAAGTGTAGATTTTACCAAGTACACATCATCTACTTGGGAAGGTGAGTTAACATGTGTGCCTACCAAATTTACTATTTATTTAAATATTTTCAATAATTAATAATTATCTAAATTAATTATAGTGTCCTTTTTAAGCATTGTCTTTAGATTTGACCAGCGTGATGTTATACTTAATAGAGAAATTCGATCTTAACGTGGTTAGTTGGTTTAGGTAGCTTTTTGGTATGCTTAGGCATTTCCTGTTTAGACTTTTTCTATTCTATTTCAAGGATGTTAGACCCCTACTGTCCATCAAAGCTATTTCCGACTATTGAAGCAAGATGCTCCGAGCATTCTTTCACCGTGTGTTTAAACGTAGTGATTATATTATTATAATCTTTGGTCTAGTGTCTTCAGTTTATTTTAGCATCTAGTGCTATCACAATAATGCCGTTACCAAAGTCCACAAAAAAAGCTTTTACAAAAATTTACTTCGCAAATATCCGCGTTATAAAATAAAATTATGTGTCTTACCTAGTATGAAGAAGCACCTCCCGCCCTCCCTCAATTGCGTGCACTATCCCCGTCACCACTAATCCCAGCACCGCTACTCCCAACACCACTACACTAGGCAAGACACACCACTGACGATAATACGACACGTGTTTCGCCTCTACACGAGGCATCCTCAGGTGATATAGACTCTACGGTGGCTAACCGCTAAGTCTTAGTGGTTAGCCACCGTAGAGTCTATATAGTCAGTGGTGTGTCTTGCCTAGTGTAGTGGTGTTGGAAGTAGCGGTGCTGGGATTAGTGGTGACGGGGATAGTGCACGCTATTGAGGGAGGGCGGGAGGTGCTACTTCATACTAGGTAAGACACATCATTTTATTTTATAACGCGGATATTTGCGAAGTAAATTTTTGTAAAAGCTTTTATATAATAGATTTCCGCAAAGTAACGCCTGATTCTATTAATTATAAAGTCCACAAACTTAACATTTATGCTCTGTGCGTATTAAGGACTTTTTATAGGAGAGGGGGCAAACGAGCATGCGGTTCACCTGATGGTAAGTGCCTACCGCCGCCCGTGAACAACTGCAACACCAGGGGAATTGCAGATGCGTTGCCGGCCTTTTAAAATTGAGAAGACTCTTTTCTTGAAGGTCCCTAACTCGTATCGGTCCCTAAAAATCACTGGTGGTAATCGATTCCACAAGGAAGTTGTACAAGGGAGAAAACTTTTTCTAAATCGCACAGTGGTGGACGTATGGATGGTAGCGCGAGTTTTGTCGCGATGTGCGATGGTGAAATTAAGCGGCTGGAATTAGTCCGAATAATTCCTCAGAGCACTCCCCGTGATAGATGCGATAAAATACGCAAAGAGATGCAACATCTCTACGCACTGCCAGTGAGTCAAGCCGATCGGAAAGAACTCGGTCGTCGACGATTCGAACCGTTCTGCGCTGGATGCGGTCAAGTGGAAGGAGCTGGCACTGGGGAGCCCCTGCCCAGAGATGGGAACAGTATTTCATGTGAGGCCGAACCTGCGCCTTGTAAAGTTGCAAGCGGTGTGCCGGCATGAAATACTGTCCCGCTCTGCTGAGCACGCCAAGCTTTTTAGAGGCCAATTTAGCCTTCTCTTCCAAGTGACCATGAAACTGCACGTCACTCGATATGTCGACACTGAGGATTCCGATACTGGCTGGGGCAACAAGGGGAGTGCCCTGAAACTGAGGAGTAAACGCGCAAACTTGTGTCTTCTAGGGATTGAACTGGACTAGATTTAGTCGCTCCGAGTCTGAAACTTTTTTCAACAAAGTCTCGACTTCAGACACAAGTTTATTCTGGTACTCGGCGACGTTTTCCCGAGAAATATTGGCACGGCCGGTGTATAAAACATCACCAGTGCTGTCGTTTGCATAGCAATGAATGTTACTGGTTTGGAATGTTGATCCAATTGCACAACTTCTCGGAAAGCCCATACGAAGGCAGCTTCGAAAGAAGTGCTTTGTGCCAAACCCGATCGAAAGCCTTCGCTATATCCAAACTAACGGCCAACGCTTCCTCCTTGGACTCCACTGACACCGCCCATCTATGAGTTAGGAACCTAGAAGATCACTAATCAGCAAACATGGCGGTCACTAATTAGCTGGTGATCTTCAAGGTACCGCATGAGCTGGCTGTTAAAAATGGTTTCCATTACTTTGGAGAATAAGAAGGTGAAAGCGATATGCCTGTAGTTGGACGGATCTGAGCGGTCGTCTTTTTTAGGGATCGGGTGCACCAAAGCTGTCTTCCATGAGTGCGGGAATACGCCTAGGGAGTAGGAGTACCGGAAAAGACGCGTTAAAACCGGTGTCAACTCCGAAGCACACGTCTTCAGCACAATAGGTCCTACTACGCCATCAGGCCCACTCGACTTGTTGACGTCAAAGGAGAGGAGTGCTTTACGCACCGAACGCTGTGTAAATAGCACTTCCTGCATGGAGCACTCACACCGCGGGATGGTGGACGGTGTGTTCCCCCCGTCATCTAGAGTCGAGTTGGAAGCAAAAAGAGAACCTAGCAGATGGGCTTTCTCCTTTGCGTCATGGGCCAGGGAGTCGTCCACTCTGTGCAAAGATGGCAGAGATGGCTGACAGAAGTTCCCTTGGAAAGCCTTGGCGAGAGACCAGTATGCACGTGTTCCCGAAGGGAGATGAACTAGTTTCTTGCCAATTCTGCTGAGTGTCGTGCTCTGACTTTACGTTGGCAATGACACTTTTGAAGGGCCTAGAGGCGGAATTATACTTCTTTTTAGAGCGCTGGTGTTTACATCCCGGGACGTTTATCGAAATACTAAAGTAAATTTTACTTTTCTCCTACATTCTGTATTTCCTGTTTCCTCCTGGCAGTTTTTATTCTTCCCCTACTTTAATTTTTTTTTAATTGCGGCATCCTTTACTTTGTCTTTAACACTATTCTACTTGCGTACTATATTGTCATCTATAACTACATTTTTTAACCTTTAACTCCAGTTGACATTTGTTTTTGCATACTTTATCTCTATAGCTCGTTTTTAATCTGTTTATTGTTGCCTACTGTTATATTAGCCCTTTAGCCGTTTTTGAAAGTATATGGACTATATGGACCATACTTGGCGTGCACTGGCACTATTTGCATAACATTTCTCACAAAACTAGTTGGGACTAATATCTAGCTGCTTGTCGTTACTTTTAGTATTATATCAGTTATACTCTGTTATCGATTTAGTAATAACAGTTTTTACTTGGAACGACACTCGAAATACTAGAGAATCCCGTTGTGGCTCAGAAATTTCGCACGACCTTTCAGAGTTTTCTTTAACCCGCCCATTGAATGCTACTCGTGAAAGGGCTAAAAGTCGCTAGGTACATAATAACATACATACGGTTTAATTTAGCTTGTAATCTAGTATAAATCTTAAGATCTCAAGCATGTATGGAAGTAAGTATAAATAATATGAAGTAACTATACTATATTAAGATTAACCATTAATTATTAAGATATTATTGACGTAAGAAAATCTATATCATCATCATCATCATTACAGCCCTTCACAAGTCCACTGCTGAACATAGGCCTCCCCCAAAGAATGCCACAAAGCACGGTCCTGAGCCACCTGCATCCATCGACTTCCTGCATGTCTTACCAGGTCGTCACTCCATCTCGTGGGGGGACGCCCTACACTTCGCCTACTGGTACGAGGCTGCCACTCGAGAACCTTTCTTCCCCATCGGTTGTCGGTTCTTCGAGCTATATGGCCGGCCCATTGCCACTTCAGCTTACTAATCCGTTGGGCTATGTCGGTTACTCTGGTTCTACTGCGGATATCCTCATTCCTAAGTTTATCACGCAGAGAAACTCCGAGCATAGCCCTCTCCATAGCTCGCTGAGCGACCTTGAGCTTTCTCATCCGGCCAGCAGTGAAGGACCACGTCTCAGTTCCGTATGTCATCACTGGCAACACGCACTGGGTGTACAGTCTCGTTTTCAAGGTTTGAGGTATACCTGACGAGAAGATGTGCCGTAATTTCCCGAACGCTGCCCAACCGAGTTGAATCCGTCGATTGACCTCTCGGTCGAAGTTGGACTTACCTAGTCGGACTATTTGTCCAAGGTAAACATACTCGTCAACAACTTCGAGCTTAGTGTTCCCAACAACTACCGGCATAGGTGTGACATGGACATTAAACATGATCTTAGTTTTGTCCATGTTCATCTTAAGACCTATCCGTTGGGAAACACTATTGAGGTCATTGAGCGTAGTGCTTAGGTCCTCCAGCGATTCTGCCATAAGGACTATATCGTCGGCAAATCGAAGGTGAGTGATGTACTCGCCATTGATGTTGATACCGTATCCTTTCCAGTCCAGAAGCTTGAAAACGTCTTCCAATGCAGCGGTGAAGAGTTTCGGGGATATGACGTCACCCTGTCTTACACCTCTCTGCAATTGGATAGGTTTCGTACTCTGGTTCTGTACTCGGATAGTCATCGTACCACATTGCGCCTTCACATGGAACGTGAAAGCTATCTTAATATCATCAGTGTCTATGCCCCTACGCTGGACAAGTCTGATGATATTAAGGATAAATTCTACGAAGAATTGACGCGGTGCGTAAATCGTATTCGTCCAAGAGAGCAAATCCTTCTCATGGGCGACTTTAACGCCCGAGTAGGACGAGACTATGACGCCTGGCCTAAAGTTCTCGGCAGACATGGTGTTGGTAAAATGAACAACAGCGGCCAATTGTTGCTTAGTCTTTGTGCACAATTGGATCTTGCAATTACAAATACTATGTTCAGACTGCCTGCCAAGTACAAGGCAACGTGGATGCACCCCAGATCGAAACATTGGCACCTTATCGATTACGCCATCGTGCGTCAAAAAGACATATCTCAAGTCCAAGTCACCCGTGTCATGCGTGGTGCTCATTGTTGGACTGATCACCGGCTTGTTATTATTAAATTAAATCTTCGTCTTCCACCTCCTTGTAGAGTGGGAAGATCTAAACAGATACGTCTGAACCTCGAACGACTCCA